TTATTTTTGCAAACACAGAACATGATTTCTCCTTAAAATCATTTTAAAGGAACAACATTCAAACTAAGTTCCGACTGTCTGTTCCCTCCATTCTCGTTGCTTCTATAGATTTGATCTTGTAGGATCTAGGAACATCCAAAAATCATGTGTTTTTTAAGTAGATGCTAAGCATCAAGCACGACTGGTTTTGCTTAGATTTGGCATCATAATTTTTGTAGTTTTGGATTTCATTTTAAAGAATTATTTCAAAACTACAAAAGCTATAATATCATATCGAAGCAAAATGCACCGTATTTAACTTTTAGCATTTACTTAAAATGTACATGATTTTTTTAGATCCCTAGATCATTCCTTTTGGATTGACAAGAGAAGATCTAGAGAAGCAACGTGGAACAGAGGGAAGTTTAAATGTCTTTACAAAAATTAAATTGTTCCCATAATATGAAACTTATTAATTTTTTTTACTAGAGTACGAGTATTACTTTACACAAAATAATTTTACAATAGAATGATTTTCAAAAGTTGAAAAATTTGGGAGGTACTATATATAATTCTAGTATATATAATACTACTGCGAGTAAAAAAACGAGGGAGGTAGATCTGTTGAAAAATAAGAGAGGCAGATGTTTGTGTGTGTGTGTGTGTTTTGCAATTTTGTTGGAACAGTCTATTTTGCTACTAAAATTGCCCGAGTTTACAAACATGACGTTCTACCAAAAGCACGCAAGTTGTCTTAGGTCTCTGCCGCATGAATACGTTTACTAACATGTTGTTTGAATGTCTTTTATCTGCTCTTTTCAAAACTCACACTTCCAGTTTAACTCAAGTGTACTTCTATGTAGTACACAAAGCAGAGTACTAACAAAGCAGCCAATGTAAGTTTGAGCTTGATTCTCGATTCTAAAATAAAAGAATTATAGCTACTAAATAATAAGACATGACAACACATTCTCCATCCGACAAAAAAATGTGCTAAAGCCTTGAGATGGTATCTCTATTCACTTAAAGAGGACAACGAGTAGGGTAAGAAAATAAAAGGCTATACCTATAAGCATATAAATATTTGCTTGTGGTGACGGAAAGTAAGTGTGACGTGAAACAAAAAGCATATGAAGTTCTGTTTCATGCTTTCTCACTTGTGCAAGGTGTAGTGAATAGGGCAAAGTCATTTCAAGCACCAGACAATGACGAAAGATAATTCTTGTTCTTGTATGGACACGCAAACAAAACTCAAAGTAACCAAAATAGAATCTTTCTATGAAGCGCTTAGCTAAACTGATATGTAATTGAGGGCAAACTAAGTAACTTGATAAGAGAACACAATGGGTATGTCGATGATGCCCCAGCTGTGAACCGGTAGTAAACAAAGATAATTTGTCCTTCGACATTTCGAGCTTGCTTGGTTGAACACCAATCTTTTGCCATGCCAATTTTAAGGCAAGCCAAAATATGAGTATATCAATATTAGGGCAAGCCAATATCTAGGTAAGGCAACCAAGGTTGGTCTTGGTTTGCTACCAGCAAGAGAAAAAACATTGTCTTGTCAAAATTTTGGAAAGAATTGCCAATGTTTTGGCATCAAACCGATTGCATGCCAAATCTTTTGAACTTCCCCATGTTTTGGCTTGGCAAAAACCGGCTTGCAACCAAGCAGACCCTTCAACCACCACTCGCATGTCCCTCTGCACAAACCCACAAGGGTTTATCAATCTTCCATCTACCGTGAAAGATACATGCTCCGATCACACACGTTGAGTTAATCCTAAGATGAAGATCAGTATGTATAAGAGAGAAATTGCTTCCCCTGTCACCAAAAAAATACTCCCTCTGTCATATAATGAGTGTCATTCTTACTTCCTGAGAAGTCAAACATTTTAAACTTTGACCAAATATATAAGCAAATATTAATATTTATGGTATATAATTATCATCATTAGATGAATCGCTAAAATATTGTCATATTAAATCTATTTAGAGATACAAATATTGTTAATATTTTAAAGATTTGTTCCAAGTCAAAATATGAAATTTGACCAAATTTATATAAAAGGTATTAATATTTATGACACCAAGCGAGTAAACTACAAAATTATGCTTCATGATGGATAATAAATATTGAGCTTTTGTAAACGTAAATTCAAGATATATTTCAGTTAGAACAAAACTTTGAAAGCATACTTCTGATAGGAACCGGGTCATTCCTCTATCTAAAGGACCTCTATAATGTGTTGAACACCCTACACATTATCTTCTTTGTTCTCCTAGGCTCCTCACATCCCTGGGCTAAATCCTCTTTGACCTAACGGCTTCAAATCTTAAATCCAGTTTTTTTTAGATAATAATGGAACTAGCTCCCAGTCTCTACCATCCGAAGATCTTAAATCGACACATCACCATAGGGAAAGTGATAGAGATGGTATCTCTATTCATCACTTAAAGAGGACAACGAGTAGGGTAAGAAATTAAAAGGCTATACCTATAAGCATATAAATATTTGCTTGTGGTGACGGAAAGTAAGTGTGATGAGAAACAAAAAGCATATGGAGTTCTGTTTCATGCTTTCTCACTTGTGCAAGGTGTAGTGAATAGGGCAAATGTCATTTCAAGCACCAGACAATGACGAAAGATAATTCTTGTTCTTGTATGGACACGCAAACAAAACTCAAAGCAACCAAAATAGAATCTTTCTAAGAAGCGCTTAGTTAAACTGATATGTAATTGAGGGCAAAGTAAGTAACTTGATAAGAGAGCACAATGGGTATGTCGATGATGCCCCAGCTGTGAACCGGTAGTAAACAAAGATAATTTGTCCTTCGACATTTTGAGCTTGCTTGGTTGAACACCAATCTTTTGCCATGCCAATTTTAAAGGCAAGCCAAAATATGGGTATATAAATATTAGGGCAAGCCAATATCTAGGTAAGGCAACCAAGGTTGGTCTTGGTTTGCTACCAGCAAGAGAAAAAACGTTGTCTTGCCAAAATTTTGGAAAGAATTGTCAATGTTTTGGCATCAAACCAATTGCATGCCAAATCTTTTGAACTTGCCCATGTTTTGGCTTGGCAAAAACCGGCTTGCAACCAAGCAGGCCCTTCAACCACCACTCGCATGTCCCTCTGCACAAACCCACAAGGGTTTATCAATCTTCCATCTACCGTGAAAGATACATGCTCTGATCACACACGTTGAGTTAATCCTAAGATGAAGATCAGTATGTATAAGAGAGAAATTGCTTCCCCTGACGCCAAAAAAATACTCCCTCTGCCATATAATGAGTGTCATTCTTACTTCCTAAGAAGTCAAATATTTTAAATTTTGACCAAATATATAAGCAAATATTAATATTTATGGTATATAATTATCATCATTAGATGAATCGCTAAAATATTTTCATATTAAATCTATTCAGAGATACAAATATTGTTAATATTTGAAAGATTTGTTCCAAGTCAAAATATAAAATTTGACCAAATTTATATAAAAGGTATTAATATTTATGACACCAAGCGAGTAAACTACAAAATTATGCTTCATGATGGATAATAAATATTGAGCTTTTGTAAACGTAAATTCAAGATATATTTCACTTAGAACAAAACTTTGAAAACATACTTCTGATAGGAACCGGGTCATTCCTCTATCTAAAGGACCTCTATAATGTGTTGAACACCCTACGCATTATCTTCTTTGTTCTCCCAGGCTCCTCACATCCCTGGGCTAAATCCTCTTTGACCTAACGGCTTGAAATCTTAAATCCAGTTTTTTTTAGATAATAATGGAACTAGCTTCCAATCTCTACCATCCGAAGATCTTAAATCCACACCACTATAGGAAAAATGATAACATATCAATTCTTAATAGAGGAAAAAAGAATCGATATAACTTGTTTTTGCAGATTAATTATAACAAAGTAAATTACTCATAAGCACACATTCATGTGGGTAATTTGTTCAGATTATGCGGCAACATCCTTATCCTTTTTCCTACTTGCATTGCACTGCTCCTTTAGGTGTCATTATTATAGAGAAGGAAATACACTGTATAGTTATATTTGAATTTCGCAATACCACTAGGAAAAAAATAATCCATGACAGTTTCTGTGTAAACCAGCAGTGAAAATGCCGGTGGTGAAGACACTGTGGTAGTGAAACAAAGTCAGCGCATGTAATCTGTTGGCTTGCTGTCATGCTTGCAGCTACCAGCTATGATGTTCATGCGCACATGGGTGGGGGGTGGGGAGGCTGCAACCCCCCCGTGAGACTGATTTTGCTCTATATTTATTGTAGAAAAAACGTGATTTTACCATTAATCTTCAACATTTATTCTAAATCTCTACTTATTAGCCCCCCGAGGTGCTCATCTTGGCTCCGCCACTTACCACGAACAATGCTCGCACGACCCATGGGAACCATTTTATTCGTATGCTTCAGAAAAATGCCATTTTATCCGAATGGTTGGTTAAGTATATAACCATATATCCATGATAGCCTCAGCAACAGTATGTTATGCATCCCGAAGCATTATTATTTATTAGCTTGCAAAAAGGGAGAGGAAAAAACAGAGCATGGTGGATGCAAGGTAGTGGAAGAGCATGGGGCCCTCGCCTTTGTCCCGGAACGGCCACTACCGTCTCCCCTCGCCCCCTCGCCCCACCCAGCCCAGCCTACAAATACCGGACCACCCCAGCTTGTGTTGTGCAACAACAGCAGCCCAGACATCTACTAGCTCCAGAGTCAGGACTACTAGCCAAGACCACACAAGTTCCAACACCAAGTGCCTACAAATTCCGAGCTTCTCCTTGCGGCGCTGCAGTGTGCATGTTCTGCTCGCTTCTGTGATCTGAGGTAAGAAGCCTGACACGCCCGTTAAGTTAGTCGGTTACTCAAGACTCTTTGCAACAAGCGGCAGTCATCTATCTGTTGCTCACGTCTCTTTACGATCGTGCCTCTTCACAGGGAGCAAGCGCGACTGCCACTTCACATCTTTCTCCAGGCGGCGAAGATGTCGGTGGCGGTGTGCCGTGGCCCAGCTGTTCCGTCCTTCGAGGCTCCCTGCTGGCTGCGCCCTGTCGAGCCGTACAAGCAGCCGGAGGTCGTCGTCGACGACCGGCCTGCGCAGGTGGACATATGGAACGCCATCCAGGCCGACGTCGACAAGGTGGCGCCCGCCGGCGCTAAGAAGGCGTCCAAGCCGTACGTGCACCCGCTCGTGCGCCGGTCGTCGAGCCTGATGAGCCAGAAGAGCCTCGAGGTCTGCACGGAGAGCCTCGGCAACGAGACCGGCTCCGGCGACTTCACGTCGTCCCTGGACATGGCCAGCCTATTCGACTCGCCGCTGCCGTCGGCGGTGGCTGCCGCAGCACCGGAGGAGTCCTTCTGGCAGCACGACGCGGCTCGCTGCTGCGAGGAGGAGCAGTGGGAAAGCAAGGATCTCGCGGCGGTGAACTACCACTGCTCGGCCGGGGCGCGGTCACTGCGCCGCTCGTTCCCGCCGCCGCTGCCGTCCATGTCGCGCAGCGACGGGCCGTGCCTGCAGATGCGCCCGCGCCGCCAGGACGGGCGCCTCGTGGTCGAGGCCGTGGCGGTGAGGCCGCGCGGGTACCTCCACGCGAGGCGCCAGGGCGGACGCCTCCGCCTCTCCTTCGTCGAGTGCTCTGCTCGCGACCAGAGCGCGGCGAGCAAGATCACCGAGGCCGCGGCAGAGGCGCCGTACTTCCGCACCGTGGAGCCCAGGAACGTGCAGGAGGAAGAGGCGGCCGTGGAAATGGAGGAGGACGACGAGGTGATGGAGGAAGAGGAGGAGGTTGAGGTGGTGGACAGGGGCACTGTCGTCGAGGTCAGTGTGAGCACGCAGCCGCAGCCGCACACCGCGGCCAAGGTGCACCGCTCGACGCTCGTGATCAACAAGTTCGTCGGCAGCACGCCGCTGTCCGTTCTTGACCAACCCCGGTGCAACGCCGACACGACACAGCCCGAGGCGGACACTTGCGACGAGACGGCGGCGGCACAGTCACCACGCCCGACCCTGCGCCGGGTGCCGTCGTCCACGACGACGCTGGCGGCCGCGGTCGCCGTGGCCTCGACGGGGACCGACGACGTCCCGGCGGCTCCGGAAGACGACAACGAGTGCGGCGGCCTGCATCTCTCCGGCGCCTACGCCGCGGCCGAGACCAAGCAGCTGCTGCTGTCGTTCACGTCGCGGAGAGGGGACAAGCAGGACCTGCTGCAGAGCGTGCGCCGGTGCCGGCAGCTGCGGCAGAAGAAGCTCTTCATCCTGGAGCCCTACTGCATTGCCACCTCCTGAACAACAAAACCATCCATCACAGCCACACTACACAGCTGCGCGCGATGAATGCGAGAGTTCGGTCGCGTCGCCATTGCTAGCCTTAAATTAATCATTAGCAAATCAAGCACGGTCGTGATTAGCCGATTATAATAACCCTTGTCAGTCGTCCGTCGTCGTCACACACACAGTGGCTGCTGCATACTGGGCATTATTACTTCTTCTTCTTTTTTTTTTTTTTGCGACACATCTTTCCCATGTGTTGCTTGGTGTTTCCCTTTTTGACTGCGCGTGCATCGGCTAGCAGTCGCCATTTGGTCCCTTGCAGTGCAGTGGCCTTGTGAGTTGTCGTTGCTCTAGTAGTTTGCGCCCCCCGCACCCCCCCTGTATTTGTAGTGTGATTTGAGTAAGTAATTTATCAATGAATTAACAGATTTGCTGTTGTGAATCTACAATCTACTTACTACTGTATTTGGATGAGGCGTCCATCAGAGAGATTGCCATTTTCAGACTCATGGCGAAGACGCCTTCGATTTCTACTGGTTTCCACCGAATCTTTGTGGACTTGTGGTGATGATGATGGGTTCCTGCATCACGCCTTCTCTACTACTTATGTGTATATCCTGGAGAAGATTTTGGAGACGACGTACGTGCGTACCGAACAATTGTCGAAATGGGAAAAGGGATGGAGATAAAAAGTAGTGCTACTATACAGTATAGCGTGTCTTGCTGCTTTGGGTAACCCTAGATCGATCACGGAGAGTGGATAGACAGATATACGTGATGTTAAAGTATTCATCATACCAAAACGCACCGTGCTTTCTTTGGGGAGATATAAATGGAAGCCGTCATGCATGTAGCAACACTAGACGGAGTGAGCGAGCGACCAATTTCTTACACGAGCGGCAATATTTTCTCTCTCGTATACACAAAAAAAACCCAAACTAAATAACGTAAACATTCCAGTTTCTTTTTAGGGCAAGTCCCAATGACTATTGTTTAAGCATGCGGAACAACTTTATTCTATGACCAGCCGTCCTATTCCATTGGATTAACATTCAATTTTATATATATATATATATATACTGTTTTGCTATAATACACTGGGTGCATCTTGTATATAGAATGCACCCAGGACGGCGGGCGCAACTTGGAGCAACCAGCGAATACATGTATGCATGCATGTAATTTTTTGTTGGTTTCAATCTTTGAAACAATTTTTTTCCTAAACCGTAACCCCGATTGACAAACCGTTTGTTGCATCCGACTCAAAAAAAATATTCTGAGCAAAACTAGATCCAATATGGATACATTTTTTATCCTTTAAGCGAGTTGCATGTCAGTGTACTACCGATTGCAACTCTGTCTACCACCTAGTTGCAACTAGTTATAACATTGTATATTATATGCATCTGGTCACTATAATCACGTCAAGTTGCAATTCTGAGTTGCAATCATATCTGAGTAGCAACTGTGTTGCAATTGAGTAGTAACTAGTTGCAATCAGTAGTAATTGGTTTGCAATCGGGTAGTAACTTTGTTGCAACCAGTAGTAATTGTGTAGTAACGAGTTGCAACTAGTGCTAAATACGCTACAGCAAGTTGCAATTGTGTTGTAGAAGTGCTTGCAACTCATAGTACAACATATTGCAATTACGTATTTGAAAAAAAACTTCATCAAATACAGTCTTCATTGCATCCAGTGCTAAATACGCTACAACCAAGTTGCAATTATGTTGTAGAAGTGTTTGCAACTCATAGTACAACATATTGCAATTACGTATTTTAAAAAAAACTTCATCAAATACAACCTTCATTGCAACCAGTGCTAAATACGCTACAACCAAGTTGCAATTGTGTTGTAGAAGTGCTTGCAACTCATAGTACAACATATTGCAATTACGTATTTGAAAAAAAAACTTCATCGAATACAGCCTTCATTGCAACCAGTGCTAAATACGCTACAGCCAAGTTGCAATTGTGTTGTAGAAGTGCTTGCAACTCATAGTACAACATATTGCAATTACGTATTTGAAAAAAAAACTTCATCAAATATAGCCTTCATGGATCTCGTTTTGTTAAGCATATTTTTTTCAACAACCTACTTCAAACCGAACTAAAATCGGATATATGGTTTAGAAGATATCACATTTTTTCGTTTGAAATCAACAAAAGATTCCCTGCATGCAGGAGCGAACGGCTGGCTGGTTGTTTACATGCAGGAGCGTGGGCGCTCGCCGCGCTCCGCGCGTCTCGCGGCTGGGTGCATTTGCTATACAGAATGCACCCAGGTGCATTTTAGCCTCGTCATATATATATGGTCACAAGTGGTTGTTTTTTATCTACATAGGACCAGTAAACGGCATAAAAATTTGCCCTAAAAATTTAAGAATTGGGTAAAAAAGGGATCAAGTTGAGTTTCGTATAGTTTTGTGAGCTAAAAATAATTAAGGACCAAGTTGGACATGTGAAAGGGTATTAGGGAATCATAGCCATTACCACCTCTATTCCAATAGGCCGTGTACCGCTACCACGAGTACCCTCATCAACAAGGCACGATCACTGAAGATCGCTAAGCCTTGGCCAGACTCGGATCAGCCGGGCACCCCTGCAGGCTCAGGCGCTACACCCACCGAGTGCACTCACGTGTGGTGCCTAACAAGAACCAATACTTCAGGGAATCAGGCATATGTCAGGGCTAGAGAGAAATTTAATTTTACTTGATAGAGATTGCGGTGATAAAAAAAATAGAAGGGCGTGTAGCTACAGGTGGAGCCATGAAGTCTTTAGTTGCAAGGATATCAGTCTCATTTTTGTGATGGATCTACGATGAGACTCGTCGGGCAGCTCTCGTGAGCGACGAAGGCATTCAAATAAGGTGTAGATGGAGGTTTGCGCATGGACGATTTCAAGGTGACATGCATATTCGCCACAAGTGGAGTTTGTTATATGTGTGTCGAGTATGTATATATTTTGGTTACATTTGGACTTAAGTTGTATTAGGGGTTAAGATAGAGTTGAGTCGGACTCTATATCCTAAGGATCATAAATATGAGGCAACTACTGTTGTAACCATGAGACGACTTGACGGTCAGTTTGAGTGGCAGCATAGTCGAACAACCAGAGCTCTTGTAGCTATTGTTTATGGGGAGGAGTGCCCATGATCATGTCCTGCGAATGTAGATAGATGGTTGTACTTCGTTAAAAACATAATGTATCGGTGTCATTCTCGCTTGTGTATATATTTTCTTCTACGATTTTTATACTTCTACCGTCTTCAGCTAGTAGATCTGTTAGAATCTGAATCTAACTGTGCATTCTAACAAAATGGGTTGTAGATATTCATTATGAACCTTCCTAGACATTAGGAGATGGAAGATTTCTAGAAATTTTGTATGTAGGGTTTTCCTTAAAGATATTTTAGAGTTTGAATAAATATATAGTATTATCAAAATGTATTTTATAGAGAATTCAATAAAACTACGTTGATATTGTAGATGTTGATGTAGCATTTTTTATATAAATTTGGTTAATGTAAAAAAATATTATAACTTATAACAAAGCTAAAGTGAAATACAAAAGACAAACTGAGTATATCGTAGTCCTATGCAATCCTCAATTCATACCTTTTTTCGAAAAGCAGCCGATAAAAATTTGCTGGTCATATATTAATAAATAAGGGACAACATATACAACAACCCAATCACAACAACAAAACTCCCACATATGGCTAGACAACTACCACAACAATGCACGACCGGCAAAACCATCACAACACCAGCAAACAAAACCCCAGCCTGCACGCCATAGCAATAGGAATCCTCAATCCACACTAGGTAGCAGGTTTATCAAAAGACGCCTCAGTTTCTGGCCCTTGTGATAGTTGGAAGGATAAACAAGGTTGTTAAAAAAAGAAGGAATCCTTGTCGACCAGCGGAAATGGAGCTCACGTACTGAATTATTCGAGGGGATCAGGTGAGGCCAAGGAACCAGCTCACCCCAGTTGATCAAATGACCGAAGATCTCGTCTCTACGTCACATGTTTTCTGTACTCGCGCTTGCTGTCAGGCTATCTCGAAGACCTCCTGCGCAACCCAAATCTAAAATGAGTTTCTAACCTAATATATATAGCCTTCAACAAAGTACCTATATAGAAGACTCATTTTATATGACAGGAGAGACACAACCAAAATCTGAGTATCCTCTTTCCTTGAGATCCATTTGCAGAAAAGATTGTCTTTTAGGTCTTGTTGTTGGAGAAAATAAAAAATAGGTATCGAACCCTTTGTCTATAGCGCTACCCAAATGATGAATACGCTTTGGGTCGCGGTTGTTGACGACAGTCTCACGACAACTTGCAGGGTCTGTACTGCAGGGCTTCAGCTAGGCTCTGCATGCAAAAAGGATTGGGCACCAGCTGGGCGGCGCCGCCGCCGCCGCCGCAACCTCCGACCGCCAGCCGTTTTGAGAGGTCAATGATGCGCCGCTGGCTAGGTGCCCTGCATGCATGGCTGTATTGGAACGCAAAATACAACGGGCAAATTGCACTGAACGATCGCATATGGCTTCACCGACACCCTGAAAATCTGATCACGTCTGTTCAGATATCCTGAGTCACCCATGGGTCCTATTCGTTTCTCTTATAATCCGTACTTTTCAGTTTGTTTTTTTTCATCGGAACAGTATTTTTCTCTCACAACAAATCAGCCGGAATAATATTTCAGCTTATTTTTTTAGCGAATGGAGCCACGAGCACTCTTTTTTTTTTAAAGAGAACTGAGCACTCTTTTTTTTTCCCTCCCGCCTTCTGATCGGCGGGCGGTCAGTCCTCCTAGTAGGTCTCGCTACCAGCAAAGCCGCAGCACTTCTCGTCTTGGGAATGCGCCGTGTCCATCACATCTGCGTCTTCGTCTACAAGGCTTTCATCTGAAAAAAGGGGAGAAATGCATGGTTCCTGACGAAGCATGATCGTGCATTATTCCTCTTCTCCAGTTCTCCTCCAAGGTTCAATCGATCGGCAC